CATCTGGAACAGTACCTTAGTCTTTTTCGTCCATGACATTTTTGAACCATGTAGGACAATTACAGTGTAGGCTCTCCAATTTGGTTTGCTCTGATCCCAGCAGGGCTCTTCTTAGTTGTCCTTTTTTCTGGTTCTTGCTGATGAACACTAGCTGGCTAATGTTTAGCTTGCTGCTGTTAATTAAAAGGAGCCATTCATTTTAAGAGGGCCCTTCTGTGAAAGCTTTTTATGGTGAATTTGGTTAGGTGTATATCAGCAAACCTTGGCCCTCAGGATTCTGGGTTCTTTGCTACTTAACAACCATGTGGGAGCTGATGGGACCTTTGTTTTGAAAGCCCGAGATTCTCTTGGAAAAGACAGTGGCAGAGAGCTCTGGCATCCCTAGTCTGAATTGCAGCTGTGACTTATATCAAGTATTAGAGAGCTCCCTTTGGTTCATTGTTTCCCAAATTTCCCTAAAGGTAAGAATCACCTGGGAACATTTGTTAAATCTACTAATTCCCAGATCCTTTCCCTGGAGAATTTGAGTGAGTTTGAGGGTAGGACCCAGGATGCTGTCTTTGTAATAAGCATCTCAGATCATTGTTATCAGAGAAATTTTGGTAACACTGCTTTAGGTGAGGCTGGGATGAATTTCTCTTAACATTTTCATCTTAGAAAAAAATATAATTAATACGACATAATTTATAGTTATTATAGCTTACAATGAGGGAATGTTGAAGTTCAGATAGTGATTAGGTTAAAAATGAATTGCACTGGTAGATGGTGGCTATGGTAACAGTTGTGAATGTGTTGTTGGAATGACTGAGTTTTAGGAAACACTGTCCCCCATTCTGGGGTTACCTGTAGATGTGATACATGCCTGCAGAGGATGATGATGAAAGTCATGTTGGTGGCATGTGGACTGATCCTTCATTCCATTACAAAGCACTAATGAATTAAGATGGGTCCCTCGCTGCATATAAGGCTAAACACTTGAAAAGTCCATTTCCTGCCTTTAAGGAATTCACAGTCTCTTGGGGAAACTGATAATTACAGTACAATAAAACACTGGACTAGAGTTTTGGGGGCAAAGTAAGGAAAGCGTGAATGCCTGTGTCTGCCAGGAGTGGTTTGGGAAGACTGAAGAGGTGAGGCTTCAGCTGAGTGCACAAAAGAATAGCACTTGCCAGGTGGCTAAAACTGGGGAGGGAATTCCAGACGGAGCAACATGAGCACTAAAGCAGGACACAGCAGGAAGTGTAAGGGACCCTGCAAATAATTCAGTATAGCCAACACAGGAAGGTGTGAAGAGCAGATAGTAACAGATGAGACTGGCTAGGGCCAGGCCAATTGTGAGAACCAATGCAGGCTGAGGCATTCATATGCTACCCTGTGGGTGGGGATGGGCTTCAGGCAGTGTGTACATTTTTCTCCTCTGGGGCAAGAGTCCATTGTGCCCCTGAGATTCTCAAAAGGAGGCCTGACCCTCCAAACAGAACCAGGCCGGTAGGAGCCACTGAAGGATTTTGAGCAGAACACTGTGATTGAATTTTCTTATTCAGAAGGTGATTGTGGCAGTAATGTGGAGGATGGGCTGAGGCCAGAGAGGCGTTCACTGCAGCAGCCCAGGCAAGAGAAAAGAGGTTCCCTTGAAAATACGTGTCTAGGGTGTTCCAGAGATTTGGCAGCACATATTTGCATGCCTGCTGGGTATGTGACATTGTTTGTTCCCTGCCCTGAAAGTCAGAAACCCTGTCAGCTAAACGGGAGGGGAGGGGAGAATGGCTCCATTCCAATCTAATCCAGTACAAAGGCAAACCCCCCTGTGTTGTAACCAGGACTTAAACACATTGAGGTACACTGCATCAGTGGAATACTATTTAGCCTTAAAAAGAAAGGTAGATTTGTATGTGTCGGCAAGATTTCTAAGGCATTAACTTGCATTAACAAAGTCACAATATGGCATATTATATAAAGATGATACTATTTAACTTTCAGAAATTAGTGATATGTAGCTGACTTAATGGTTACCATTGGAGTAAAGATAGCAAAGAAACTTTCTTTTCAGTTTATATTGTCCTGTGTATGGTTGGGTTCTTTACATTAAGCATGTATTTATAATAGAAATATGTACTGTATATATGTAGTTTTACCTAATCCTATTGTCCCCCAGCCCCTGCCAGGAGCATGTGACTAACATCCATTTGTAAATCATTCCCTAGTTTCTCCATCTCCTACCAGGTCTAGACACAATCAGTGGTCCCCCCGGGTGCTTCCATAATACTTGGTTATCTCTCTTTTACAGTATTTAACAGTGTATCACAAATGTGTTGCTCTGGCTTTCTCTAGACTGAGAAGTCCTTGAGGCAGGAACTTGATACAGTGCTTGTGTATGATAGAGCTTAGGTCCTGGAGTACCATGTAACTGACAAAGTGCATTTATAGTTTTGTACATTGTCCTTGAGAGCCCAAGGTTGAAATTCTGTCTGAGCCAGCAGTATGACACCAGCACTAACTATCCTCTGGGGGAGGAGGGAACACTGGTATCTGAGCATACTCACCCTGTTCTTTCAGTACAGCTAACTCCAAGGCCATAAACAAAGGGTGTGGACTTGGCTTTCTTTTATAACCCTGAGATCAGAACCTGCAACGAAGAAAGATTGCTTTTTGTTCTAGAACACCACAGAGAGCCATCAAGGTCTGGCAAAAAGCACACAGTCTTTGGAGCTGAGTAGACCAAAAAGCCCATCATTGTCAAGCCATTTAAACCTGGAACCCTAGTTTTCTTTTTCCTTTAATTACAGATAATACTATATGCTGTAGAGTTGTAAAGGGTAAATAATCAATGAGATGATATGCTTGAGCATAAATGTTAGTTTCTTCTTGGTTCTTGTATAATACACCTCTCAACTTTGCTCTGGGGAACCAAAGGTATGGCCCTATGGCAAGACCATTTCAGCTTTTTTTGGAAAAAGAGGATTAGGAAAGGAATGTAGAGGATAGCTGGGAGTGCTGTCTGTCATGGAATGTCCCCTTCCGGTTCCTCTGAGCTATTTATCACTTCATCCCTCACAGACTTCCATGTCTCTGCCATTATAGGCCTTCCCTTGCTCTACGTGATGCTTGAGTCAGATAATCTGGATTGTCCGTTGGTTTGCTTCCCTGCCTGCTGCTGCTGCCTTTCGTGATCAAGAGAGCCTGGAAGTATCACACGTTTGGAACCCAAGATTTTTTGTTTTCAGATGCAAATAAAGTTGGATTTTTTTTTTTTGAATGTGTGTTGTTTGGAGTTATAGCCCTGTCTCCTCATGCCTTAGCTTTGGCTCTCCCCCTGGGCCAGCAAAGACCAGAGCCAAGTCCTGCTCTGCACAGGTGATGCCTCTGATTTAAAAGCAGTTCTAACAATCTCTTCTCAGGTTCAAACTGATTGGGCAAAGAAGGCAAAGCCCCAGAGCTTCATAGCACTATTTATTCCAAAGTTACCAGAAGGTTCAATTTTGGGGCCTTTGAGAAAAGGGTCACTAACTTGGGATATTTTGGAATGGAAGACCATTTGATAGATATGTCTTGATCATGACATAATAGGAATAATTTAGTCAATCTCAGTTTGACTCTGGAGTCACTTTTTATATAGTTGAGATATTGAAAAGCTTACTTGAAAAGGCCTTGGAGGTATGATGGAGTAAGGAACACTGAATTAGCCTAACTGGTTTCCATTACTTCCATGTTTGTCCCTGGACCCATTCTCCACACAGCCGTTAAAAAAAACAACACTGCAAGTATAAGGAAATAAAAGGAACCCTCTCACTACTTCCTTGTAAATTTCAAATAAAATATTCCTACTTTGACCCTGCTTATACCTCTGTAACCCAGTGTCTTCGTTCTAGTCCTACTGGATTACTGTACTTGATTTCCCCCAGACCCCATCTCTCCTTGCCTCTAGGCCTTTGCGTTGTAACTCCTGGAGCTGGCACTCCACCCTCTTCCCACTTATAGTTCCCAAAATGCTTTGACTTTTGCCGCCCTGGGGTGTTTGGAGTGTCGAGCGTTTAAATTTCCGCCTTCGCCGCTAGACTTGATTTAAGGAGGTAAAAACTGACTCGCGAACTAGTCGATCCCCAGCATTCAGTAGACGCTTAATAAAGAATGAATGAAGGTGGAGGACTTCAGCTATGTCAGACAGCAACCTCAATTATAAATCATGTGAATCGTGGGTAGGTAATGCTTACTTCACATGGGTATTGTACGGATAAAATGCATGAAAATTGCCTAACTTGGCTGAATAAACGTGAGTTGTAATTAAATCTGATTTGTGGCCGATACAAGGTGTGTCCTTCTATCTGGTAAGATGGATCGAAAGGCGGTCCACGGAGCACACCCCCGCCCTCCGCCGTAGTTGAGCTGGCCAGGCGCGGTCTGAGAGATGCCTACTCAGCTGAAAACCCACTGAGTGCATACGTGTACGTCTGTTCCAGAAACCCTCAGCTGTGCTGCACGTACACGGCCATTGTAGAAAAGAGAGCTCTATCTGGAGTAATGGTCTGAGGTCACAAGGACCATATTTCGAGCCGGGTGGGAGGGAGCTCTTCTCTCCACATGGGGCTAAAGTGCCGTCGGACCCAATCCCAAACCCCTGGGTCAGTCTGGATAATCCTGGCTCAGGCATTTGGCCGTGCCTTTCCTTCCACGACGATCCAACCTTGAACGTGGGGCCCGGCAGCCCCATCTGCAGCCTCGTGAATGTCACGTTCTCTCTGCCCCTCCTCTCGAGTACTCTATGGTTCTCATGTTGACTACTCTAATTCTAGTTCCGGTCTCTATGGCGGCGGCGGAGGCAGGAACGGTTGTAGGTCGGTCGAATTCGCCGCCTAAGAGCCAGTGAGAGTGGAGAAGTGATAAAGTGCTAGCCAATAGAAACTAGCGTCTGGGGTCAGGTGGTGCAACTGACAGCATAGCTGGCCAGTGAACGAAGCTTAGGGCGGGTCGATCTCAAGGCTTATCCCGCCCGTCCCGCCATTCTCGCTAGTTCGATCGGTAGCGGGAGCGGAGAGCGGACCCCAGAGAGCCCTGAGCAGCCCCACCGCCGCCGCCGGCCTAGTTACCATCACACCCCGGGAGGAGCCGCAGCTGCCGCAGCCGGCCCCAGTCACCATCACCGCAACCATGAGCAGCGAGGCCGAGACCCAGCAGCCGCCCGCCGCCCCCCCCGCCGCCCCCGCCCTCAGCGCTGCCGACACCAAGCCCAGCACTACGGGCAGCGGCGCAGGGAGCGGCGGCCCGGGCGGCCTCACATCGGCGGCGCCTGCCGGCGGGGACAAGAAGGTCATCGGTGAGGGCCGGATGGGCACGGGGGTGGGGCCGTAGGGAGGCCTGGTGGCGGAACCGTTACCCGTAGAGGGGCGAGCCGGGGGGCGCGCGGCTGCCCCTCCCCCAGCGCCCCCCCACCCCACATTCGCGCCCTCGCGGACGCTGGCCCACGTTCCCGGTAGGTGCGCTTGCGCTCCTTGGACCCCTGTGGACCCCCGCATGGGCGCGCGCCCCTCCCCCCCGGGCGGCCGCGCGCCTCGACCGCGAGTGCTGCGGGGTCCCACCCCTCCCCGCCAGACGCGTGCGCTCGGGCCCGCACGCCGTTGTTCCGTCCCCCAGCCCGCTCCCTTCCGCGTGTACCCTGAGGGCGCGGCGCGCCGCCTACGCAGGCCGGAGTGGGCCGGGCGGCTTCCCCTCCGCTCACGTGCTCTGCGCCCAGCCGCCGCGCACTCGCAGCCTGGGCCCGCTCCCCTGGCTGGCCCTCCGGCCTCCGCGCCTTCGAGCGCACCCACGTGCAGCGCTGCAGCGCCGCCGGGGCCACCGGCCAGCGGGCTCTGGGGAGAAAGGCTGTCAGGTGGCCGCGCGCCGCCTCCGGGGAGTGCGGGAGGGACTGGATGCTGAGCGTGGAGGCTTTAAACAAGGTTGTCTGGTAATCGTGGGCTTTTTTTTTTTTCACCCCCTCCAGCAACGAAGGTTTTGGGAACAGTAAAATGGTTCAATGTAAGAAACGGATATGGTTTCATCAACAGGTGAGATGACTGCCACGGAAACCTCCTTGCATGCTCTGCTCCACCTGTAGGCTTTGTAGACTCGAAATTGTTTAAGCATGTATAGGTTGCTACCTCTGGTGTGTTAGTGTGATTTTTGTTGTCCTTGGTGATTGAAGGAATTAGCGGATCTAAGGATTGTCTTTGTTGTGCAGCTAAACCTTCTGAAGCTAACTTAAAAGGCAAGCCGCGTGAGTGATCCATCTCTTAACTGGATGAACTGAGGAAACTAAGGCCCCAGTACTATTATGTTAGACTCGGGACCTTCGCATTTTTGTATTTGTCATTCTTAAATACATTATTGAAATTGGTATTGTAAATTGACCTAATTAGCATATAGATCATTTACAACGTAACCTTTGGAGGTAACAGTTGTGGACAGTGCAAGTTTATGCGGTCTTGTCGTCTTGAACGTAAGGTTGTATTGCCTTTAATGTTGAAATCTATGCTGTCTTGAAGATGCCTCGGGTAAATGTTATATTAGGACTGCTCTGGTAAGTTTTTACTCATAGAGGAACATCTGGAAGAAAATGGCCCTTTTCCTCCTTAAATTTTCAATTCTGCTTGTCCCCAAATCATACCTGTTAAATCAATTCATTAAAGCTTTGTAGCTTAGCGTTGCCTCTGTTGGTCGTAACATTGTTCGCATTTGCGGGCGAAGCTTCAAACTACATTTATGGTTAGTGGGGGTGTGGCGGCAGCGACTGTAACGCGGTTCTCGCGCTCTTGGCGGCCTCGTGAGCCGGGCATCGCTTCCAAGATGGCTGCCGGGACTGGTGGTGCAGCCCGCGGGCGCGGGTACCGAGGTGCGAGCAGTGGCCGGGCAGGTGTGCCAGGGCACGGGGCGTTGTCTTCCTTGCATCCTATTTGAGAAGGCGTTAAACAGATGTTTAAAAGAATATTTGAGTAGGAAGTAATGTGAATGTGTGTGAAATGGACACGACAGCAGGAAACCGAATGGGCAAGATCTAGCTTGCTTACAGTCAGGCATAATTGGCTGGTGGAAAAGCGTCCGGTACTCAACCACCAAGTAGTGTAGAAACGCTCAAAGCAAAAGAGTGTAAGCTATTATTTAATGGTCTGTTTTCCATGTTTGCAGTTGTGGGGAATCGTTTTGTTCGAAAATCTTTATTTACATTTGTTCTTAATAGGCCTTCGTGACAGGCTAAGGCTACTTTTGTTTTGTTTTTTAATCAGTTCTTCAGATAATGGCTTACCTAGTGAAGACGGAAGGGAATGCTTTGGTGCTTGTGTTTGACCGCACTTTTGTTTGGTTGGTCTCTGAATTTGTTAGCATTTCAGTTAGTATATCCATCTTAGTTTGGTTACTGGCCTAACCCTTACACCAATGGTTTTTTAATTAAAAGGGCTTAAACCTTGGTATGTTGTTAAAAACGCAAATTCCTGAGTTCTTCCTTCCCAGCTTGGATTCATTGGGTGGATCTAGGGTGCGTTTCTAACAATTCCAGATGTTTATAGCTTCCAGGCCATACCTTGAAAAATAGTGTGTGATGATAGAAGGGACTAATGGCACCATTTTCAGTGGTTAGATTGTAGTTTGTGTATGCTTTTAGAAATTGAAGCATGTGCCTTCGGTTTTGGTGCATTTTGTTAAATGAGCATAGATGATGTTTTTCAAATTAAGTGTTGACACCCAAGGTGAAAAAGTAGTTCTTTACATATTTACATTTTTATTCTGAGATGCCATTCCTTGTATATTTTGGTTCCCTCCTGTGGTCTACTCAATTGGTCATCCTCCAGGGCAAGTTAAGTGTAAACTGGCTTTTGATGATCCTTTGTTTGGACTGTCCTACTTTGTCAAGTTAAGTGATTGAAACGTGCTTAATCTGGTCATTTCAGTGAGTCTGAGTAAAATGCTAGAATCTGATTGCATTTAAGTCCAGGAGAGGTTTCCCTTAATTCAGGGAAAATTAATGTCAAAGAACTGTGGTTCTAGAAGCTACTAGCAGTAGACAGGGCTGGAGGCACCTGGTGCTTTTTCAGAGAAACACGTGCTGTAGCTCTAAAGGAGAAAAATGTGTTTTCTATGTAAAATTTTATTTCTAACTAAATTTCATATGGTAATTGTTAATCTCATTATTTTCTTAAAGGTTAAAAGTTTTTTTTTCTCCTGATGGTTTTATTGTATGAACCATACTAAATAAGAAGAACATAGAGCTTTTAAGACCTCAAAACTTTTGACTTGATTTTGTTAGGCTATGTAACCTAGGAATTCTGAGAGATTCATTATTTGTGGTGTCTGCAGTAGGTAATGTATTGATTAATTAGCAGGGTTTGTTAACCTCCCTCCACCCATAACTTTATTTTGTTATGAAAAAGTTAAAACTATTGAAGGTGTCATTAGAATGATGCCCCAGGGATCGGTGGTTTCAAGGTTTGATTCTCTGCTTTTGAAATCTAGAAACCTTAAATTTGTCTTTTGTTTCCAGTTGTTGAGGGTTAATCCTTGCTCACCAAATTCATCAAAGGTTGGCATGACTCACTAACTTTTTCAGTGGAACATGCATCTTATAGGCACCAGAATAGCAATGTTGTTCTATTTTCCAGAGATACTAAATGAAGCATTCTAAAATTTGGGGGTGAGCAGGGAATTTGGCACAAAGAGAATCAAATAGAGCAGATCACAAACTGGTGGTCTAGCTAAAAATCTACCCCTAGATGTTTTGCTTGGACAATATTGTGTCTTAAAAAGAATTAGGACTATTTACTGGGATTTAAAATTCAGGATATAACACCAAAAATAACCAGACTTTTTTTTTTTATCTGAGTTTTAGCTTCAGGGTCTGTAGTCCATGTAAATAAAAATTAGCTGCCCTGGTGAGTGTCATTGCCACTTGTAAATGAGGTGTACATTCTCTTTACTTAACCCCAGTCTGTCAGGCTAAGTTTTCTCCTCTTGTTGACTTCCCTTCCTGTTTGGCCTCTGTTGATGCATTTGAATTTATTGCCCAAGATGTATAATAAACCAAACCACACCACGGGAAGTCTTAGCTACTTTACAAAGATACTTAGTCATGGCTGTCTGGTTTAATCTCCCTTTGGGTGGGGGTGTCTGATCTTTGGGGAATTCCATGTGTATGTAACTGATAAAGATGACTTCTTCCACAATGGTGATAGGTAAAAGCAGCTAATGTTTTTCAAGCACTTACACCAGGCACTGTTGTAAATGCTTTAAATGAACGGACTCATTTAACCTTCACAACCTTTGAGGTATAGGTATACTATTCTGAGGCACAGAGAGGTTGAGTAACTTGCCCCAGAAAACAGAGCTAGGATTTGAACTGTTCTCTTACTCTGGAGGTTATGTTCACCATTGCTGTTGTACTGTCCCTGAAAATAGACCCTGGTCATTCTCAGTTTGGTTGTCCTCCATACAGATAATTTCTTAGGGTAGCTTATTCCTAACCATTGTAATATCTTTTCTTAAATGAATCTTTAGCATGTCACTGGAGCTCTTGTGTGCTGACCACCAGTTTCCCAGATTTGAAAAGCTTGCTTTCTACTGTCCCACTATTTCTTGTAGTTAGGGATTGCTGTAAGCTTAGTGTGCAGATTGGCTTTACAAATTAAAGGAGTTAATGGATATAGCCTGGGAAGTAGTTAATGAATTAAGGGAGAGAACATTAGATATTGATCTCACTTCTGAACCTCTTTATGGTTTTTATATGGCCTGCAAGCTAGCTAAGAATGGTTTTTATCTTTTTAGAGGGTTGTTTATATATTTCTGTGAGAGTCTGTGACCCTGCAGAACCTAAAATTTTTACTGTCTGGTTCTTAACTTTGTAGACTTGTGGAAAGATGATTGCCAAGTCTCTTGGGCTGTTGCAGACTGATGTTAACTTAATCACACAGTGAGTTCTGTCTCTAAGCCATATTAGTGACAGGTAGTGTGTAACATAACTGACTAAATGCTGTGGCTCTTGGGGAAGGCTCCAAGACTTGGCCATGTGCTCCTAATACTAAGCAAGGGATGGGATGGGCTAGAGCTATAAAAAGATACTCAAGTAGTCTGCAACTGAAGTGTCATTGGCAGTCTGAAAAGCAGTATATACTGGTTTCTTTAGAACTGACTGAGGTTCTTTTGAGACAATGAGTTGTGTACAGGGCATTCTAGGATTAAGTTATATGCTGACTATATTAGCCCTAATTTTAAGTTGACTAGGCACTGATCGGAAAACCTTCTCATCTTAAAATATTCTGGGATAGAGAGCTAGTGTATTCACCTGCTGTTTTGCTAGTACTGGGGTTGTAATTCCTGAGTTTCCTCCCCTCCAATCTCAGTCCTTGGAAACAACTAGCCCGTCTAAGGCAGAATGGGGGAAAAAAATAACAGGAAATAGGAGTGTGTCCCCTGGGTGTGAGGGATGTGTAACAGAACAAGTAATAAGATAATGGAATTTGTGATGTTATGACCATCTGCAGGACTTGGAAATTGGAGTCTGGATGATTTGTGTTGTGGAGCATATAGCTGCTAAATCCATAGGTTTTACAGCTGTAGGATTATAAATTATACAGTTGGACACGTGAAGCTGTTAAAAGGACTTGGTGTGGTAGCCTGCAACATGATGGGATGAAAGCATTCAGTTACAGATAGTTCAGCTTTAGAGTAGGTCTCATTTAAGGCAATGCTGTGGGTTAGCAAAAAATGTTCCCTAGAATTTTAGGGTATCTTAAGACCCTTTTGAATCTGGATAGATAGACTTAGTAGTATAATAGTTCAGTGCTGCTGGCTACGTGTTTTTACCTTCATTGTGCTGTGTTTCAGAACCTTTGAAGAAACTGATGTTCCTTAAATCCCAGTAGGATCTCTTCCTTTTTCTTTAGCAGTCTCCTAACTTAAGATGGTATCCCCTTCTTTTCTTTGGCCACTGGCTGTGTGATTCCTTTGTCTTGAAAGTTAATACTATGTCTCACTTGCTGAATAAAGACAGTACTATACATCTAGATAGGTAAGAAAACCTGCCAAGTAGGTGTGTTTTTCATTAAAAATGTTTCAGTAGTAAATAGTTTACTAACAAGAGGTGGAGTAGAATACAGCAGAAAGAGTACACTTAACTGCAGGAGAATGAGAGGTCTGATGCATGATATGAAATGACTGTTGGAATGTTGTAAGCCTGTGCTGTGCGTGCAGTACAGTAGCCATTCAAGGCACGTGGCTAGTGCATCTGAGAAGCTGAATTTTTCGTTTGTATTTTAAAACTGATACTGAAATTGGGTGTTTGTTTTGAACAACTTGAATGTGTGAATTTACTTTTTCATTTCAGAAGTGTAAAATACAAATCAAATTGTGAAGAGTTGGTAGTAAGAAAAAAGAAATGTAAGATATTTTTATGTGTTGAAAAAACTTTGTACCTGCTTTTATCTTTTTTATTATGGCTACTAGAAAACAGATATTCGGCTTGCATTTTCTTTTTATGTGGCAGCAGTGTGGGTGGGCTTAGGTTTGATCAAAAACCTTTATGAGGTTTTTAAAAAAATAATTAGCATTTAGTAGCCAAGTGGTGTTATTCTTACTTCACAAATGAGGCAACTTGTCCAGAATCCCATAGTTCGTTATGGGACAGCCAGGATTCCAGTCTTGGCTCCAGTGGTTCTAATAAAGAGCTCTCAACCACTGTGCTCTATGTACTGCCTGCTTCCTCCCTCCCTCATCTTTCTCTGATGAGTATGATTTAACCTACTGTAAATCTATGCAGAAAACCTTATTTGATAATATAGCTGCTACATTGGATTGAGTGGTGGTGGCCTTCTAGATTGAAATCCTTGAGGAGAGGCCATGTATTATTTTTTATTTCTGGCACTTAGCACACACAGTGCCTAGCCAGTTAGCTAGCACAGGTAAAAATACTCAGCTTTATTAAAGAAACAAAAGAGGCCTTTGGACTTGGTGCCCTGTGTAGGCCCAGTGGCTTGTGGTAGATTAGAGGAAGATCTACTAAGATGGAATAGTATTACAGAATAGAATTCAGAAAAGTAAAAGGTGTTGTAATTACATTTTCATTTGAAAAGCTGGCCAGAATTAAGTAAATAGTGGGCACTCAAAAAATTTAATAAAGCACCTACCATGTTCCTACAGTATGCTGGATACTAGACAATGGTATGACTGTCTTTGTCCTAGTGACTTACTTGCCTCCAGGGGGGAGGAGCTCATTGTAAATTTGTCTGCCCTGTCTGGTAAAGGCAGAAGTGTGCCTCTTCGTTCTCAGAATAAGCCACAGAAGGTCAGGTGCAGTGCTGGGGATGCCTCTGTTCCCTCCTATCAGATTAGTAATAACTAAAGGTTAAACACATGCTTGTTGATGAGCCATTTTGGTCATCTTGTTTTAATTGCTGCTTTTCCCTCTTAAGATCTCTAGCATGGGCATGCATTTTTTCCAGTGTTACTACAGATCATAGGTCAACAAACTACCACTCACAGCTGTTTCTGTATGGCTTGTGAGCTAAGCCATAGTGAGTGTAGGGATGATTATTTGTTGTTGTCCTCTCCAAAAATTGAAAAAACCATATGCTATAATCTCTCCACCTCCAAATCTAGAATGTAAAGATTGCTGACCTAGTCCTTCTTGAGTTCTCAACATAGTAAAGATTGGGGCCTGTCTAGTAAAATTCTGCCACTGTGAGCAGATTGACCACAGTTCAATTTCCTAATTTGTAGAGTGGGGGATTAATAGTAGCACCTATCTCAGGGTAGTGAGGATTGAACGGTACACTTAAAGATTTGGCACTATATCCAGAACTTAAGCCTTCAATAATGTCATCTATTATGTGTTTAGTTTTTCCCATTTTGCAGTTAAAGAAAAAGATCCAGTTAGTAGGCAGCAGCTTTCCAAGTTTACACAGCTATTAATAGAATGAGAACTAAAACTTGGGTTTTCATTTCAGCCATGCCTTGAATTTTGCGGTGGTCATTTAATAAGTTGCAACTAGGTAATTTAGTGCATCCAAACTACAGCTACTCTATCTTGGCTAAGTGTGTTGAGCTGTCAAATTTCTTCCTAAAATCCATATACACTTTTGCCTTTGGTACTCTTAGTAGGCTGATTTAGTGTCAACGGAGTAAATGAGTATGATGTTGTCTGGCATCACACTACTAAACATATACTGATTTCCACACATCTGTGTACCCACAAAACATCTTCCTAAACAGGGAATGACATTACCTTGTGTGTATTGCCTATCTTGTACTATAAAACAGTGTAAAATAACTACATTTGAAACTCAAATAATAATTTACTTACACAAAAGGCCGGTTGGATACCCAAATTTTCTAGTCATCCAGCAAGCCTGATATCCTTCACCATCATTAATGCAAATAGTGCCCCCTGTCTTTGGAACAACTAAATGCCCTGCAGCAGTCAGTCCTGACCTGTTAAAAATCACAGTTCTAGACTTGGCTCACCTTTCCTACTCTACTAGGTTTTTTTGTACTCTCCACTAGAACCTTAGGGCTTGAAATTTAGTCATGTTGGAGATAAAAACTAATGAGTGGTGGTGATGGAGCTGTTTGTGTGACACCTGTGGACCTATTTGACAGGCAGGCATTATTATGACCAACTATTAATTTCCTAGGTGTTACTAATGCTCAGCTAGCTTGTATTCAGTTTTCAGTCACATGCGTGAAGTAGCTTTTCAGTATTCCTCCTGGTTTGTGTGGAGGGTTTTATTTTAAAGATGTGTAATTATATTGTGTTCCCATAAATTAAATGTCTTCATGTTATAATAATCCAAGCTGTTCCATGAATTCTTTGCATATATTGCTCCATGGATCAGCAAGGAGCCAACACTAAGCCACTCAGTCTAATTCATTGTAACCTTTGTCCTTTTGTCATAAACCCTAGAACTATTATTGGGCCCTGTCTACCTCATTCTGACCTACTGACAGAATAAAGAGGGTAGGGGATCTGTTTCTCCAGTGGTTCTTATTGCTTATAGTATCATCACCTGAACCCCACTCTCAAAGCTAAAAGCTCAAATCTTTTTCCACTTTTCTCTCACTTTTAACATTAATTTATTCACAAATATTTTCTCATTTTACCTTAAGATACCTCAAACACACTCCCTCATACACAACCCCTTCGTCCAGTCCTCCATCTGTCCTAGTCTGTACTTCCGGAGTAGCTTTTTTATAACTAACTGGGCTCCTCTTATCTTCAGTCTTCCTATAATAATGGCTACTAAATTTTAACATCTGATAACTTTACCATGTCATGCCTCTGCCTACTTGATAATTTAGCCCCTGTTCTTTCCCACATAGCCATGTTATTTACGCTCAGTTTGAATTCAACTCAAAGTCCTGTAGGAAATAATTTCAACCATATTTTGTTTAGCAAGAGTTTGACTAGACTGATGATTGATGGAAGATCGTGTCTAATGTGAAGTGAAAGAAAGGGGGTTGTGTATACTAGTAAAAGTCTCATTCATCTTTACCTCCTTGGTTCTCCAGTACAGAGCATGCCACATAAATGATGTGCATATTGGTAGCATCAATATTTATACTTTGTTGTGGTCTTTTTTTTTTTCCAATTAATACTTTTATTTTTAAGCGTAGTTGTAGGTTCATGGCCAATTGAGCAGAAAGTAACAGTTCCCATACATCTGCGTGCACAGACGCACGCACACACACACCTCTCTCCTGTCTATTCTACACCAAAATGATAATATTGTTAAAATGGATGAACCTACACTGGCACATCTTTATCACCTAAAGTCCTTGTTTAGATTAGGGCTCACCTCCTGGTGTTTGTTTTTATGATCTCAGAGAGAGTTGAGGGTTAGAAATAGTAAAGAGGGAAATGATTGAGGATGAAATGAGAAAGAAAGGAAGCTAGTAATTAATGGAAGGAAACACATTTGTGTTATACTTCAGTGTTAGTAGCTATGCTCAAAAAATAAGAGTGAGGTGTGCTGGGGCATTATTAATGTTTAATAGGATAAGGAGTGACAGGATGCTACCCTCTTAATGGCGTAATAGTAGGTCACACTTTGATTTCTTAGACTTTTCTAAGAAAAGTTTATAACCACAACTGTTCAGTCTTTATAGTAGAACTCATAGTTTGATTTTTGTTTTCATTTTTTAAAATTTCCTTATGGCTGCTTGACAGCCAGAAAGTCTCTGTAACAGTAAGAAAAATGGGGGAAAATGCACAAAGGGCCAAATATATTAATCTGGCAAAATGATGAAATGTATTCCATTTTCTAACTTGTTAAACTTGGTTCTGTCTTGCAGGAATGACACAAAGGAAGATGTATTTGTACACCAGGTGAGTGCTTAGGTGGATATTTTACACTTCTGACTCCTCAAGGCTTGTGAGAAGAAAAGGGTGGATGTCTTCTCAGCTATTGATTGGTCCTTGCAAAAAGGTTATTAAATCCAACCAGCAAATATTTTAGATTTCCTACAGAGTGTTAGCATGCTCTAAAATGCACATTGAAACATTGGATTGGCAGTGGCTTAATTAAAATAGGTGTTTCAAATTGGTATTTTGTTAATCATTGGAGTTTTTTTAATGTTGAATCTACTCAGTTCATTACCCTGAATTTCAAACTTACTGTCAGATCAACAAAAAACCACCATTAACCAAAACTTGAACTAATAATATTGCTATACATGACAGACTTTTGATAAGATGTTTCCAAATACTGTTAGGTTTACTTCTATGGTAAGGACAAATCACAGTAATAATGGGAGAAAATAGAACAAAGAGGCAAACGTTAACTTGGATGCTAGAAAACTAGCAAAGTAATATAGGTTCTTCAGCACTTTGAATGGGTAAGATTTCTTTTTTACCTTTGGAGAATTTGGACTGGCTTGAAAAATTCATAAATCTTCACTGATTCAAGGTTAAGTGAAAAGACAGTGTGGAAAAGTTGGTAATTGCTTATTAAATAATTTTTAGCTTGGCCTCAGTTTTCTGAGAGGAGAAAACTAACAGGTGCTATGTGCTGAACTTTCTCAAGTACTATTCAAGGAGAATATTTTGAAAAATGCTTTTGAACACTTATCTCAAACCTAAGTATGTCATTGGTTCCATTGGACTTTACTATCCTTACAGGTGTGCGGTTGGTAGGAAAAACAAGTTTGTATACGTATATTTATGTGCTCTGCAGTTTTTTTCTCTAAAACCATTGAAATATTGTCAACTCGTATTGAAAATCACTCTAGAACTTTTTAACCACGTTTATGGTGTAATCAAGGCACCAAAAATGTCATAAAGTCCATTTCCACACTCACCATTACTCAGGCAGGTGAGAGTTTGGGTGGCAGTACACTTCTCAGGCAGGGCTTCCTGAGTCAGTGCTTTGCAGCTCTCCGAAATGAAAATGACAGCATTTCAGTGGCAATCAAGGGGGAAACCAGATCACTTGCTAGTAACCAAAACCCTGTTACATAATTGCAGGGTCAAAAATATGGAAAAAATGTTATTTTAAAACAAATGTGTATTTTACAAAATCTAGTGCCAACTCCTTATCTGTTCGTACTTCCCTTCTGCATGTTCAAAGGAATTTGCAGAACTTAAGAAGAAAAGGCAGGAAGGCTTGTCCGTCTTGCTATGTCTGGCAGCAACACTGCAGGTTTGGGGAGATTGGGAAGGGCGTTGAAGATGCTGACTGACTTAAGAGTTTTGGGATTTTAATTATCCATATTTCTGCTATCCCCTATGACTGCAGGTAATTGAGAGTTGGCTATATATGAAAGGTATGAAAGCTTTGTGACAGTTTAGATGACAGATGAGATCAATTACTTGGCTGAACATGTGTTCACCCACTTGGCGTCACCAATATGATTTCCTCTTTATTTTGGAAATGATTTCAACATTTATTTAGTTGTTTCTTGGGACTTTTGCTGCTCAGGTCTTAGTAGTGTATCAAGGAGGCTGCAGTTCTGGGCCACTTAACTTAATTGGCTTCAGATGTGTTAGTTGTCCTGCCTCCTCTGGAATGGAAATGCATGAGTGATCCTGTAACAGATACTGTTATGGCAGAGTAGAATGAACATAGGATTTGGAGTCCCAAGACCTGGATTGAGAAAAGTCTACACCCTGCCACTTAGTAACTATGACCTTGGGCAAGTCCCCTAACTTTAAAGCCTGTTTTACTACCTGTAAAAAAAGGAGCAGTAATACCTCATATCATCTGTCATTAATGAGGTTGTATAGATAATGCACAAAAGGACTTCATAGAAATAATTAACACAAATGTGAGGTGTCATTCTTCCCTTTCACTTTGTTGTAGCAGTCTGGAGAACAAGTAACACAATGTGAGATTTATTGTATTCTGGGGAGGTAATAACCAGCTCTCCCATGCAGTCAGGTAATATAAAAAGTGGCGTAGTTAATACATGTGAATTGCATTTCCATTGAAGTGTTATTATAGACAGGTTGGAAGGGATTTTGGTTGACATTTGTATATGAGTTTGATGCGGTAACAGGGACAAAGTTGGTGTGGTCAACTTTGAAGCATGCAAAACTAAACTCTCCTGTCATCTAAACTGGCCCTGTGTGGGGCTAGCTTCTACTATTAAGTGCAGTCTTTGGGGGATAGATGGATGTCCTCACTTGTTCAAAGATACATACAATGCTTTCACAAAAAGCATTTTTAAAATATATATTGTTGCATCTGTCTTGAGTATTAAATTCTTTAGTTTGGAAAATAGTGGTAAAATGCTGGGGCCTTGTAAGATTGGAGTATTTTGGTTGAGGTTGGGGGTAGCATTGATTGGTCCCTGTTTTCCTAAATTTATTGATGGTTTAGTCTCTTTAAAGCTAATTTTAAGTGTATATCCAAGCTAAAATAATGCTCTGGTACATTTTAAATGAAAAAGCACATTATTCTCCCCTGTTAATCTGTTTTTGGAATGTGATATTACTAGACTGCCATAAAGAAGAATAACCCCAGGAAGTACCTTCGCAGTGTAGGAGATGGAGAGACTGTGGAGTTTGATGTTGTTGAAGGAGAAAAGGTGAGGATGCTTTTTGTGTAAAGGTTTGACTTCAGTATGGAAATATTTTGGTGATGTCATCCATCAGGATGGTGGCTCTAATGTGGATGAATGGGTCAGGTGACCACATGAACACAGGTGCATCAAGCCTAATAATGCTGACTGCAGTTAGAGGGCAATCTCTTCAGAACAGTGAGGAATTAATATTAATCATATCTATGCACCCCTGGCCACATAGACCCTTTCTTACTTTGTGTAAATTTTGTTCAGTGTGCTCAATTCCATTGTCACTGTCAATATATGATGGCTTTTATAGGGTGCGGAGGCAGCAAATGTTACAGGCCCTGGTGGAGTTCCAGTGCAAGGCAGTAAATATGCAGCAGACCGTAACCATTACAGACGCTATCCACGTCGCAGGGGTCCTCCACGCAATTACCAGCAGAATTACCAGAATAGTGAGAGTGGGGAAAAGAATGAGGGATCGGAGAGTGCTCCCGAAGGCCAGGCCCAACAGCGCCGGCCCTACCGCAGGCGACGGTTCCCACCTTACTACATGCGGAGACCCTATGGGCGTCGACCACAGTATGCCAACCCTCCTGTGCAGGGAGAAGTGATGGAGGTAAGTTTCATCTTTCCCTATATTGGAGCTGTTAATAATGATAAGCATTTTCTGATTCAGGTTACTTAGTTTATAGTACAATCACAGTTACTATGTAGTTTTACCTATTTTTAACTCCTGTATTCAGACTTTGGATTTGTCTGATTGGATTTTTACTCTAATGTTACTGATCCCAGTCAGCTTGATTTCCATTGTCTCTTCAGGGTGCTGACAACCAGGGTGCAGGAGAACAAGGTAGACCAGTGAGACAGAATATGTATCGAGGTTACAGACCACGATTCCGCAGGTATGGTTTGTATTAAAGTTTTTTCTCAAGTATATATATAGGGCTCAACATCATGCTTCTCCTGTGGTCTTTTTGGGTCATTTGTCTGTTAACACTTAACATTTTCAGCCTAAGAAGTGAACCTGAAGTCAATTATCTTTGAGAATGTTTTCTTTGCATCTTTGTTGACACTGGTTAAAAACAGCTAGTATAGATGACAGGTCTGTTGAATAGATAACAGTTGTTTTTTTCCTCTCTTCAGTGGGTGTAGAATTTCAAATTTTCTAACCTTGAACAGGTAAGAATAGTTTAAACACTGAGATATATAGCATTACATCTCAGGCCTGCTGTTCATTTAGAGGGAGAAAGAAAGGTAAAAGTTAGCATTACCTTTTAAGCATTAGCATCTGAACAGCACCATCTTAACATAAAAAAAGGTAGAATTTTTCCTTTGAAGTAGCATAATTTTCTATTAATCACTGCTCAGTGTAGAAAATTAATTCACTAAAATTAGAGATTTCTGACTTTTCAAGCCACCAAGAGATTGTGATTGTCTTAGCTGTGTGTTGGGTGTTGTACATAGGATTGGAGTTTTTCCCTCTTTAGCAGGGAAGAATGTTTATTATTGAAGTACATAACAAAATGCACAGTACTTAGTGTACTGCTCAGTGAATTTTGACATGGGTTTATACTCAAGTATCCATCACTCAGACTAAGATAATAAAACATTCTTACTGTATTTTTTGCTGGATTTTTCTCCCCCTCCCCTTTCACCTATTTCACCCATCCTCCCCTATGGCAATCAACAACCAGCCTGTCCTCTGTGTCTATGAGCCTGTATTTATTTCTGTTCTCTCCACATGTAAGCGAAATCTTAAGGTATTTGTCTTTCTGTGTTTGGCTTATTTCACCTAGCAAATACCCTCAGGTCCATCCATGTTGTAGCAGATGGCAAGTTTTTGTTCTTTTTTATGGCTGAATAATACTCCATTGTATATTTTACCACATTACCTTACCCATTCATGTATAGATGGACATTTAGGTTGCTCTATATCTTCGCTTTTTAAAATAATGAATAAACATAGGAGTACATATGTCTTTTCAAATTAGTGGCTTTGGGTTAAATTCCTACTGGTGGAATTACTGAGTCACATGGTATAGTTTTTTGAGAGGCGAATGCTGCCCAAGAGTGTACGAGGGTTCTGTTTTCTCCACATCCTTGCCAACACTTTTCTTGTTGATATTAGTCACTCTCACTGGTGTGGGGTGATACCGCACTGGTTTTGGTTTGCATTTCCCTGATGATTAGTCATGTGAAGCATCTTTTCATGTGCCTGTTGGCCATCTATACATCTTATTTGGGAAAATGTCTATTCAGGTCCTCTGCCTATTTAGTATTATTTGTTCTATGAAAAATGGCACTGGTATTTTGATAGGCATTGCATCGAATCAACAGATTGCTTTGGATAGTAGCCATTTTTTGAAATAATACCAATAGGAAGATTATTTTTGATGCTGGCTGATTGTTGGGCTTTGTTTTTCTTGAACTGAACTATATAGTTCAGACTAGTTTGAAATCTAGATACAGATACCTTGTTGAAATAATGCACATAATACCAAAATATAATTTTGTTAAGCAATGATAAAAAATGCTTTTAAAGCTGGTCTAAAATAGGCTCTCAAGGAAATCTATGTATTATTTCCATGGGTGTCAACAGAAGAATCCTTGGTTTACCTGTATCACACTATAGAGGTGCTTAAATTTGCTACCTAGTTTCTTTGGTGCCCTTAAAAATAGCACATGAATTCTTGTTGAGTGCTTCATTTTACTGTTTGCCTTTTTAAGTTAGACTTAACAGTCTCACTTGAATTGGAATAGACTAGTTGACAGTGCCAGATAATTGCCTTAAAGTTTACAGTCAATCTATTGATGAACAAAGGGCTTTCCAAACTATTTAGCCAGGAATTTCTTGTTCAAATGAATAGTGAATGGCCCATAATATGTGGGGTGAAATCCTGATTAGTGTAGGTCTAAGAGCAAATTGAGAGGAATCTTGGAGACAAGTTATAGCAGAGCTTTGCTGAGAGACAAATGAGGTGGCAATGAGGGAAAAGTGGCATCAAGAAAGGGTATTTGTTTGAGAAATAAGAGCATATTTGTAGGCTGAGATACAGTAGAAAAGAACAGTTGGCAGGAAAGTGACTGCTGGAGCTGTCTTTAGAGGTAGGGTAGGATTTTGTCTACAAATAGGGGGTTGGCTTTTTTGCTAGGAACTTTAGGCACTTCATGTGTAAGTGTCCAGACTATATGAGCACTGGTGTGTTAGTGGAGTCAAAAGGGATAGGTAAGAGGAGGTTTGGGAAGGTTGGGTCAAGATACGAAGTTTCTCTAGAAGAGAAATGGAGGAAATCAACTGATAGAGGGTAGTGGTCATGAATGTAAAGTGGGTCCACATAGCATGGTTGTATCTTTCCAGCCATTTTGAGTAGCAGGCTGATTGGGCAGTTGGGTTTATTCAGTATTTGTTTATCCAAATGAAGATACTAAGTTGGGATATTGTTAGGATGATTACTGATGGACTTTATACTTGGGAAAAGAGGTGAGAAAAATGTAAAGGTAGAATGAGGGGCAGAATAGGTAAAAGTATCACTGGATTATAGTTCATGGTGGAAATAAATAATGGGAGAAGCAAGAAGGAATAAATTAGGAAAATTTGAAGTGATTGGAGAGTGGGATGTTTGAAATTGAGAAAACCCAGGTAGAAACGAATTGGAGGTAAAGAATTTGAAAACCCAGGTTATTTGGGGCTGTCATGATAATTACAACAGGAAAGTGATAGCCAGTGGAACATTTCCTAACATAAGATTTGAAAACTTGGGGTATTAGAAAGAAATAGGGGAGAATTGACAGTGAAAGGGAGTGGGACAGCTAACCATCAGACGTCTGGCTACAGGGGAAAGCTGGAGCAATTTTGCTAGACTAGCAGTTTTGAGTTTCTAAAACTGTGGGGGTGATAATGAATCATTTCTGGGTTTCTGTGAGGGTAGGAGGAAAGGTCAACAAAACATCAGTTTTCTGACAAAATTGCCAGCCAAAGAAATCCTAGTGTCACCTTGGGTTATTAAAAGTCCTGATACTTTCTTTGGTTCTCATAATTTTCAGACCCCTGAAAGATAATATATTGCCAGAATGTGACAAACATTAGATTTTTTGTGTTTAGTGTGTGACTTGGTTGTTTTTTACTATAATCACAAAGTTAATGCAGCTGTTACTGCTATCTAATTCCACACATTTTCATCACCCTCAAAAAAAAACCCATATCCATTAGCAATCACTCTCCATTTCTCTCTACCCCCATCTCTGGCTACCACTTACCTACTTTCCTGTTTACTTTCTGTTTCTGGATTTGCCTGCTTTGGACACTTCATATAAATGGAATCATATAGTATATGTGGCTTTTTGTGTCTGGCTTCTTTCCTTTAGTATATTTTTAAACTTCATGCATACTGTAGCATATGTGCGTGCTTGATTTATTTTTATGGCCAAATTGTATTTTATTATATGGACATCACATTTTGTTTCATTAATCCGTTAATAGACATTTTGGTTGCTTCCACTTTCTTGTTGTAAGAATTATAATGATACATGAAATGGATATTTCTTTGGTTATAGACCTAGGAGTGGAATTTCTGGGTCTCATAATATAACTCCCAACATTTTGAGGAATTCGCTGAAATGTTTTCCAAATCTGCTGCACCATTTTATTTTTCTGCCAGCAAAGTATGAGGTTTTCAATTTTTCCACATCCTTACCAGGACAGGTCGTTTTCTAACCTTTGATTATGGCCATCTTAGTGGATATGAAGTGGTTATCTTGTGGTTTTGATTTGCATTCCCTAGTGGATAATGGTTGCTGTGTGAATTCCATTTATATAAAGAGGGCATCTTTTCTTTGGTCTTGATTTCCTACCTTTCATCTGTAAAGGTTAATAACACTTGTTCCCAAACGTAGTTACCATAAAGCCCGTTTTAAAATGATGTCAAAGCATTAATGGTGGCGTGCCACTTTCAGTAATACCATGATGAACTTTTGCAATAGATTATCTATGAGTGAAAGTTTTGCTAGTGCATTAAAACCAGTTATAAATGCTCATCTCCCATTTTATGCTTCCAAAACACTAACGAAGTCCTTGCATTCAGGTGAAATATGAACCAAATGCTTTTGTTTTTGTTAATCTGCCTGCAGACCAATATCTGATAAAGAGAAAAGCCAGAATATGGTTTAATAGTTAAGTGAACCAAGTGTGTTAACGCTGGTGGTTGGGTTAAAAAGGATTTTATCATTGCAAGTTTGTATGACATTCATTCCAGGGGTCCTCCTCGCCAAAGACAGCCTAGAGAGGACGGCAACGAAGAAGATAAGGAAAATCAAGGAGATGAGACCCAAGGTCAGCAGCCACCTCAACGTCGGTACCGCCGCAACTTCAACTACCGACGCAGACGCCCAGAAAACCCTAAACCACAAGATGGCAAAGAGACAAAAGCAGCCGATCCACCAGCTGAGAATTCGTCCGCTCCCGAGGCTGAGCAGGGCGGGGCTGAGTAAATGCCGGCTTACCATCTCTACCATCATCCGGGTAAGCCTAGATAACCTTTTGGCCTTTTTGGCTGGTCATGAATGGTGTCCATTCATTGGAAGAGGAAAAAAACAGTCCACCAAGTAAGGTAACCATTTTATTTAACAATGCTGTCATGCAAATAAATCTTGAAATTACCTAAGTATTCTAGTTTGTTTATAACTAATATCAGAGACACACTCGGCCTCTCTGCCACCTCAGTTCTGACATCTGGAGGCCTATCTTCTTCACATTGTATCTTGAATATTAGAGCCTTCGTCATCTTTCTGAGTAAATTCTGGACTTCATCAGCAAGCTAAGGAAAGTCTTGCTGACCTTACCCTATGATGATTATTTATTAATTTTCAAAAATAAGTGGAATAGCTACTAGAATTAATAGCATAGATGTTGATGACCAATATCATCTCTCTCGGGAAAGTGGCAGTATAGTATCAGTTCAAAAATTAAGAGATTCCTTTGCATTCAGCCTTGTATTTGATACAGAGAGGCATGTAATTGTCTCTGGCTTGGGAATTACCACTTCTCAGCCATGATACTTGGTTTTCCCTCTTTATTTTCTGGGTGGCAAATAGGCAACAGACCCATACCATTCATGTCAATGTCTACCCCTGTTGTAAATCAGTGTCTTAGGATACACCAGTATGAAATTTGTTAATGTGATCTGGAATGATTGGTATACTAAAGGAACATGGCAGTGAATTGTTCAAGATAATGTTTAATTTTTTTCCTTTACAGTTTAGTCATCCAACAAGAAGAAATGAATATGAAATTCCAGCAATAAGAAATGAACAAAAGATTGGAGCTGAAGACCTTAAGTGCTTGCTTTTTGCCCATTGACCAGATAACCAGAACTATCTGCATTATCTATGCAGCATGGGGTTTTTATTATTTTTACCTAAAGATGTCTCTTTTTGGTAATGACAAGCGTGTTTTTTAAAAAAAAAAAAAAAAGCCTGGTTTTTCTCAATATACCTTTAAAGGTTTTTAAATTGTTTCATATCTGGTCAAGTTGAGATTTTTAAGAACCTCATTTTTAATTTGTAATAAAGTTTACAACTTGATTTTTTCAAAAAAGTCAACAAACAGCAAGCACCTGTTAATAAAGGTCTTAAATAATTGTCTTTGTGTATATTTCTGCCTTGTTTTATTTTAGTCTAAGTATATAGCTGGTTATAGGACCCTTAGCTTAAACCTGTCTGCAAACAGGTGATACTGGTAAAACTACTCTAAGAAGTTTCCATAAAATGTGTAATCCTTTATTGAAGACATTTGTGTGCTCATAGTAAAAACTGGAAAAATATTTCCTGTGATAATACGGCCATTTTCCTTTTCCTAAGTCCCCATTGCCAGGAGGCAGTTGTAAAGTCAGTGAAATTAATTTTGTGGTCTCCGTTGTAACCTAGACCTATCCTTGCTATTCCTTTATAATGTCTTGTTAAATGCTCTTTGACTTTGTTTATGAAATGGTTGAAGACTGCTCTATAGAGACTCATTCTGAATCATCCTGGCCAGTTTTCAGAGCCTAGGGGAAAAGATGGCAGGTTTGTATAGCGGATGCTAGAGTGGCAGGTACATCTAGTGTAGGAGTCCTACAGTGCTGTTTATGTCCAGGTGGTGGCGCCCTTCTCCAGAGAAATGTGCACAGGATTCACAAAGCAGGTGCATTGCACTGGTACTTTTTAGTTGTAGGAAACTGGTGAACAAAGTGGGAAAATTCCAGTAGACTTAGTCTAGTTATCAGTCAATACTCTTTGAAACTCTTCTCCCAAATATTGGACCAGCCCTGCCTTTTATGAAAATAGTCAATGTTCTGAAGAGTATAGTGGAACAGATACTTAAACATGGTGGTAGTATAGAAAATGTATTGTTTCTATAATTGTATAATTAGGATATATATCATGAAAATGACACCACCAACAATAGTGGTTCTCCAGCCTTAACGATTATGAATACCTCCTTGCTTTAGAAGACCTGTGTGACTGGAGCAGAGTGAGCACAAGAGACTAGTAAGGAATCCAGTGCCATATCGTAAGGTATGTGATAAGTTCTGTTCCCGTTAAAATGAGGAACTGGTGAGAATGCATGTTTCCTATCCCGGTTTTTATTGAACATTGTAGTAGAGTCTAGGCAGTGCAGCAAGATAAAATATGTCAGGATTAGGAAGGAAACAATAGCATGCATAAAGGATACTGGTAATAGAAATCAAAAGAGCTTGCAGTTAAAAATGGGTAATTTAATAAACAGCTAAAACTTTTCTGTATAATAGTAAAACATTTAATGGTAGTATCAAGGATGGAACTAATGTTCAAAATTACAGGAGGAAGCAGAACTATTGAAAAAGATGGAGAGGTTCTCGTGTTAGAGCATATATATTGAGACCAGTCAATTCATCTGTTCAAATTGAGTAAAATTGAAGGATTTGGCGGGGGGGGGAGGGGTCATCTCTTTAAAAAGAGAGCAAGAGATGGAGGGCTGAAGAGAGAAAAAGCAATTGTTGGAGAATGGGAAAGTACTCTAGGGAAATAGAATTCCCAGCAGGTGGAGGGTTGGATTTAAACGGAGCTTAATGGTAATTGAGAGAGAAGGCAAGGTTGTAGTTGTCAATGTTCCCAGCATCCACTTAACCTCATCCCAGGATCCAGAGATAGATACTGATTTTCCAGTAAGAGCATAGCTACTGGCTCAACTGGACCATTGGTGCAGAAGCTGGTGAGTGTTTCAAATCGACTCAGTACAAATTTAAGGTAGCTGGAAAAGTATCAAGTGATCTACACTGGCACACAACTTTAAGATGTGCATTTACTATTACGACAGGTTATGATCATGTGAGGAAATTTCAAGGTGTGTGTTGGAAGTGAAAAGGTCAAAAATAACCCATGGTGGTCAGGATCCTTTGGGTGCTGAAATTGCACAAGTGGTGGTAAAACTATAGGTGTGGAGAAGATTGTGACCCAGGAATTAAAATCTAGGACATGGTGTTGGATAATGGATTTAGTCTGAAGGAATGGACTTCAAAGAAGGAAATTTTGAAGACTTTCAGAGGAGAGTGGTTTAGAAATGGTATAACAGGAGACCTGCTTGGCCTGTCGCTATGGAACCTGGAGTTTAGGAGAAAAGCAACTTTGAAAGGGCTTCAAGAGTAGTAGTGTCCTGGGGAAATCTTAGAAGGGAAAGTAAGAAAACGAGAGCACTGGGAGAAGAGGCTGGTGACTGAATTCTGGAGGGCACACACAGTGGAAGGCCTAAAAGAAGAGCAACATTCAGTCAGATGAAAAGTTGGGAGAGGTCTCATGTGAATTGAGGTAGTGCCTGCGACTGGGGGAAGCTTTTGAACATTTGGTAGAGACTGAGGTAAAGCAGGGAATAACTCAAGGCTGTGGAAGAGAGTCTTAGGAACACTGCCGCTTCCCCCCACCACCTTGTGACTGGTGCCCAGACAGGAATACCTGCTTACATTTCAGTCTCACAGCCTGGTATAAATGGTACAGAAGCAAGTGGGCTGTTAGCTTATACCATGTTTATGTATCTTAAGGGATGTTTTAGCACCTCTTAAAGGCTCAGCAGCTAGCTGTCCAGCCCTCCTGCACTGTTCTGTCTGGGTTGAGTTGCTAATGATAGGAAATCTGAATTTATTTTTTAAATAGAATTATTTTCATCACAGATTCCTCTAGCGGGAAAAAAAAATAGGATCACAAAGGTGACAAATTTGGATATTGCAGAAGTCCCAATAAATGAGACCTGTCCTATAGATGTGGCAGTAAGAAAGGGGGTCAAATTTGAGGTGTTTTTGAAAATTGAGTCCAGAGATAAAGTGAATGGCTGAACACAGGAATGAGGAAGAGGGAAGAACCCAGCAGACTGCAGAATGTTCACATAGGTTGTGCCATTTGCTGGAATATAGATGCACAAAGGGGAGGGATATGTTTTTACTGTTTGAGGTGCCTATGGGGCATCCATGGAGAGTATGCAAGAAACAGATGAGCTAAGGAGGGAGGTGTAAACTGAAGATGAATGTCTGACAAGTGAAGTGGCTATTGAAAAGCTGTGATCATAGATGAAATGACATCACATGAGCATCTGGAGACCAGAGTGTGGAAGCCCAAACTCTCAGAACAAGGCAAAGGACATAAAAGTGATGGTCAGAAACAGATATGGAAAATCCAAAAAGGAGCACATGGAATCCTAGAGAACAAAGTAGATGGTTCATTTGGCATCAAAGCCGAGAGGTCTAAGAAGGTGGAGGCTGCAAGGTATCCATTGGGCTTAGCAACAAGGAGACTGCTGGTGAGAGCTGTCCTGTGGAAATGTGAGGTGTACAAAGGTGAATAGGGTGCTACTCTGTCTTCTCACTCCATATAATTTGCAAATCCTGTTGATTCTTCCTTAGGAACCCAGAATGAAACCATTTCTCACTACCTCCAACCACATGTGTCCAGGCTTCCACCAACTAGTCTTCTTAGGTGAGGTCCCTGCCACATTCCTTTCCAGTCCCTTACCCGTCTTATGAAGTCAGTTCTCAACAAAGCAGCCAGGGTGTGTTCTTAAAAACATTGGGTCACTTCTCTGCTCAAAACCTTCCAGAGGCTTCCAGTCTTGAGCAGGAGCTAGTGTCCTACAGGAAGCTTCATGTGACCCGACCTGTCCTGTCTGTTTTTTCTGCTCTCCCCCTGGTTTACTCCACTTAAACCTCACAGACCTTTTTTACCTTGAATGTGCCAGACACATTACCACCTCTGACCTTCACACTTGATTTTCCTCCTGACAAGACTGTTGTTTCCTGGGTAACTAAATGGCCTTTTCCCTCAGTTCATTCAGGTCTTTAGGGAAGTCCTTCCCTGACCACTGTTCAAATTAGCAGCCCCACCCCATACCGAGATCTTCTGACCTCTACCCTGCTTGCCATATCACCAGCTTTTAATCTATATTTGTTTATTCTGTGTCTTTAGGGTTTTTGTGTCTTGTTCCCTGCTGCTATATCCCAGGGCTATGTTATATCCAACAGGATTTAAAGTGCAGACTGATGGTTCGGTAAGTATGTTAAAAGTGGGTTGAAGGGAACAGGCTGCTACTGGAAGGGCAGACATAATAGATTATAATTTACATGTTAACCAAATAGGTTACTGCTGAGGGTGAAAGGAATGTTATCAATTAACTAGGATAAAGGACTGCCCTCAACAATGTGGGAGTTGTGGTCACTCTAGAGATAATGAAAGTTTGAGGGAAGGATTTTTTAGGATGAGGCATTTTGTAAGAGGAGAGAATCAAGATGGCTTATGACTGGTAAAACCCTCATTACCCTGTGCATAAAATTTCATTATAAATAATTTGAGACACCAGGAAAGTTGTTTGGTATCTGAAAACCTGAGTTCCAGACCTATGGGTACCACTTTCCCAGAGCCTCAGTATGGAGCTACCACATAAATGTTGGTTCTGAACATTGAACTACTTCTCTATTCTGTGCACCATCCACATGAAAATCAACGGGTTCTTAGATCCCACCATCAAACCGCCTCATCCAAGTGCAGAGGAGGAACCTCAGAAAGAGCATTTAAAATAATCTTCAACGTAGAGATATAAATAGTATCTGCTTCCTAAAGTTCTTGTGAGGACTGAATAATATAATACCTGATGTTGCACAAATGTTGGCTGTTACCACAGGAATATTGAAAGGCTTAGCTGAAATAATAGCTGTGATCATTGTGAACTGAAAGTATGATGGCCATGAGAATGACTAGTTCTGTTCTAACTACAGGGGACATAATCCACCCACGATACCTTGTTCTGAAATCTACTACCATGTTTACCCTGAGGCCATGCTTTCAAGTTGCCTAAGCCAATGAGTGAGATTCTAAAGCAGTCCTGTTCCTGGGAGACATGGACTCCTCTGATGGCCTTGACAAACTTCCCTTGACTGCATGGTGGTCTAGGATTCTTCCACCCAGTACTCCTTCACTCAGACATTGCCTGATGGCCCTCCCAACTCCTTCCTCATTTTCTCACAGGTATTTTCCTACTAAAATTCTTGCATCAGATTAATCCTAGTTGGGGGTCTACTGCTTGGAGGACCCACACTAGCATAAGAAATGCCATAAAAATGTCAGGAGGTAAGAAAAGGAT